CGCCGCCAGCCGGGGGCCCGCGCTGCCGAGCTGCCCCGGGCGACAGGAAGCGGCCGAGCCTGTCCCGCTTCATGGCGGCGGCCGCTGCTAGAGCCGACCCGCTTCGCTCCGCGCACCACGCAAAGCGCGCGACCCCGCCTCGGTTCTTCTCGGGCCAGTACGGAACCCCTCGGCCCCACTCGGGCCTCAGCACTGCACCACTCGGCTCGACTCGACCCCGTTCGGCTCAGCTCGGCCTCGCTCGACTCGGCTCGGCCCCACTCGACTCAGTTCGACTTAGCTTTGCTCCGCTCGGCCACCTTCGGCCCAGCTCGGCTTTGTTGTGGAGGGGCGGAACGAGCCCGTGGGAGGAACGGCGTGAGAAAGGCGGAGCGTTGCGAGGTAGGAGGGACGGCGCTGCACAGTGAGCGTGATGAGTCTGAAGGCGGGGCAAAGGGCCCGGGCGCTGTGCTGAGCCCCCGAAGCTCCGCAACTCCTCAAAGCCTCGTTACAAGACCTTAAGGAGCAGTAGATCCGCTCTTAGCTTGTTTTATGGAAAGGAAACGAGACGCGAGCAGGCGGCCGCTGTGCCCCAAGACCCACGCGCGGAGGTGGCAGGCCCTTCCTTGGCCCGACAGCACGGTGCCCCTGGGCATTGGAGGACTTTTCAGAATAGTCAGTCATGTTTCTGGAAGCACAATTTCCTCTGATTCTTTTCTGCAGTTTTCACTCAAGTATACATACAGAGAAGTACCCAAATAGTGGGATTGTCAGGAGTTAAGAAGGCTGGATTTGGAGCGAGGGCTCGGCCGCTCAGGATAGCTACGTAAGAACGTTGTCATCACTAATTCCCTTTACTAGATGGAGAGACCCCGGGCTGCAGGCCGAGGCCCGCGGCCCAAGATCGGTTTCCAGACCCTGGCAGGGCCTGGCCCGGGCGTTCACGTCGAGTCTCCACCACCGTCAACTCCACTCTAACCTGTCAGAGGAGAGCTCGGGTGGCGCGGCAGGGCTCCGGAAGTGCTCTCGGAAAGTCCCGCCCCGTCCGGCGGTCCTATGCTCCGATGCTCCGGTGCCGGCGTACTAGTGTTCCGGGCTCTCGGACACCCGCCCCGCCCCTCAATAGCCACTGCCTCCCCCGCCCAGCGCCATGGCCGCTGCGGCCGGGGACGGCGCGGTGAAGCCGCTGCAGAGCGCTATGAAGCTGGCCAACGGGGCCATCGAGCTGGACACTGGCAACCGACCCCGGGTGAGGCGAGGCGGGGGCGGGGCCCGGCGGTGGGCAGCTCCGGGACGGGAGCCGGGTGGGCGAGGGCGGGGCGGTGGGGGTCGTGCTCGGCTCCGCCCGGGCTCGGGCACTTGAGGACACCCACGCCCACCCGGTGGGGTGGGAAGAAGGCCGGTCCTGAGCTGAGGTGTCTCTCTGCTGTGCGACCTTGGACATCTCACGGCCCTCGGGGCCTCAGAGCAGAGGTGTTTGTAGAGGGTATTCCGGAGCGTCTTGGAAGAAACCCTTCACAATTTCATGTGTGTGCATTCTTCCCTGGACAGAGGCTATAGACTGAATCTGCTTCTCATAGAGGACCGGATCCAGAACGGCTAACTGCCATCCCAGTGGGGAAGAAAATGCGGAGGGTGGCTTGCTGGTTGCCTCCAAGAGAGGGCCTGGTGGAAAAGCCGGCTGGACCACCTCACTGCCCAGGGAGGGAAGAAGGCCGAATTCTCGTCTGTCAGCTCTGCTGCTACCTTTTTGTCCTAAGACACAAATCCTTGTCCAGAGTCCATCCTGGTCCTCTGTCTGAGAAGTAGCCTTAAAGATGAGTGACTTGATAGCTGGGATGCAAAAAATAAAAAGGACGTCAGACCGTGCCTGGTGTTGGGTGTCCTGAGCCCTGACTGGACCAGAGTGTGCTCAGCCCTGGGGCTCAGAAAAGGGACTTCCAGGAACCCAAGGCAGGAAGATCTGCAACTTCATACCCTCTTTAACATCCCAGCACAGACTCAGTGGCTCCTGAGCCAGGCCACAAAAGAAGTTATTTCCTAGAGTGTGAAAAGTCAGAGCAGCTGCTGAGGCTTCTCCCAGCCCTCCCCTGCCAGAGACAAATGTGATGAGAGAAGTGGTGTCCAGCTGGTGTCCAGCTGGTCCCGGGACTCAGTACCTACTACACACTTGCAGGAAGAAGTGCTTTGGTGATGTAGGCACGTACTGACATCTTTTCCTTGAAGTCTTGGAGAGACTGGAGACTATCTGATTAGGCAACTACACAGTTACCAGCCAACTCCTACAGACAAGATACCTCTGGTGTGTCTTAGGATAAGCACCCACTGCTGTTTCTGTAGCTCTGGGGTCACATTTTGGTACCCCAAGCAGGTGTGATGGGCTCATTTGCCTCTGTGGGTCTGACTCCTGTCACTTCTGTTTCCTGGCACAGGAGGCGTATACAGAATACTTGAGGAGCATCCACTACATATCCCAGGTGCTGCTGGAAGAAGCAGAAACCACCAAAGGTAATGCTCTCAGCCTGGTAACTCCTTCCCTGTGCTGGTTTAATCATGGGAGCATGACTCTTGGAGAGTCCTAGGCCTGGACATCTCCTATCAGCATGGTCATTAGCAAAAGGAAAGACCAGTGCCGCTCAGCTAGTACTAGCTGTCATAGCATGATGTAGGGACCAGAGGGGTGGGTATTGTGGGGGTGAGGCATGTTTAGAAGGCTCACCAAAGCATGCCTGAGGAGGTGACACTAGGATGATGGGAGCTGTGGCAAGATTTGACTGGGGCATTCCCAGCAGAGGGAATGTGCAGAGGCTCTGAGTTGGGAGTGGATGATGTGTTTGTAGAAGGCAAGTGGAGAGGAAGGAGGTTCGGTCAGGGTTGGATAGAGTGCTGTGGGCCTGGGGGTACTGAGTCATTCCTATGGGAAGGAAAGGTCACAGAATACTTTGACCAACAGGCAGGAATGCAGGTGCATGTGCAGACAGGCGGGCCCTGGAGTACAGAGCAGTTAGGGGATTCCCTCAGTACATCCGTATTTGTGCGCTAGCACAGCAACTGCATGCCCACCTCACATAGGGTGGTAAGAGGCAAGCAGAGTCCTCAGTGAGAAGTAAAGGAAGACCTTATTTAAGTGGAGAATTCTAAAAGTCTGCTTACTAGTGAGGGAAAGAAAGTCGATCAAATGCTGGACTGGCTAAGCAAATTGAAGGTAGCTGACCTTTTTGTCTCCTCCTCCAGAAGCCTGGGAAACAGTTTCCTCAGACACCTCAAAGATGCTGAAGCTGGCTCAACAATGTTTGGAGAGGGCTCAGTTGACTGCTTCTAACTTGGGTGGGTGTTCAGCAGGTATCCTGGGGCACCCCCAATTCTGTGTCCCCTTATAGAATGTGTGGCCACCTGACTGACCCCTGGCTACGTATGACTTACAGAGAAACGGTGCCTGAAGCCAGCCAAGCCTGTGAATGCTTCAGTTCCTTCACCAGCCAGCCGACACCGCCGCGTGTATTCAGATGAAGGGGGAAAGCTCTCCCCTTTTCTACCCCCTGAGATCTTCCAGAAACTTCAGATGGTAGAGTCGCAAAACTCCAAGAAGTAAGATGAGGCAAAATAGGTTGTGGTCTGAGCCGGCAGATTGGAATTGGAGGTCAGGCAATGTGAACTGACCACACTAAATTTAGCTAAAGTGGGTCCCAGATTGGCAATACCTTGTGTCTACAGAAGCAAAGGAAAACCATTTTCCTATTTCATAAAACTGAGTGATGCACAATGAAAAATACCCAAACACATAAACAAGAATCTGTGAAGAAATGACAGCAGAAACAGACCAACAAAGTCTACAAATATTGGCATAATTAGACACAGATTCTAAAACAGTTAGATACCCTATATCTAGAGGAAGAAGTCTTGGTGTGGCACTGTGCAATAAGCAGTGGACTGCTAACCGCAAGGTTGGAGATTCAGTCCCACCAGCTGCTCCTCAGAAACCTTGCACCAGGTCGCAATGAGTCACAACTGACTTGATGGCACTTAACACATCTAGGGGAAAATAAGGAACTATAAAATCTGGAACAAGAAAATACAGAATCTGATTTCGGAAATAAAGAAGTAGATCTCCTAGAAATGAAAAAGGAAACTATTTAAGTCTAGGGAGAATGATAAAAAATGTGTAAATAACTTTTCCAGTAGAAATTCCAAAAAAATCAAGAAATGAGTGGACACATTTATAGCAACAGAGCAGACACTGCTAAGGAGGGAATTAGTGATTTGGAAGAAAAGTCAAAGGCACCCAGAATGCTTCATAAAATCAGAAAATGAAAGTAGAAAATATGAAAGAGACTTAAAAAGTCAAATTTACTAGCATTCCACAAGGAAAAAAGAAAGAAAATGGCAATCATCATTCTGAATAGATACTGATGAAAAGTTTTCCAGAATGGATGAGAGACACCAAGAAAATGGAAGAAACTCAGTGAATCCCAAGTAGGACAAGCGATAAGGACCTGTTCCTTCTTGCCTTTCACTGGCCAGGCCTCTGGGCTCTTCAGGAGGTTCCTTTTGAACCCCAATCACCTACTTGCTACATGTTTTGTTTCAGGGCATAAGGACCTGTTCCTTCTTGCCTTTCACTGGCCAGGCCTCTGGGCTCTTCAGGAGGTTCCTTTTGAACCCCCAATCACCTAATTGCTACATGTTTTGCTTCAGGGCAGGCAACATAACAAAACTTCCACCCCAGGAAAGCCTCTCATTAAGTCTTGTTTTCTCTCGGTTTACCTCCTACCTCCCTGAAAGCAGGACATACATAGGGCTGAAAGCTCCCTTGGCAGAGTGCCTGTTTGTCACCATCATTAAAAACACATTGTTTAGTTGCCAAACGTATAATTTGTTTTGCAAAACAGAACTTCTAACTTCTTTGAAAAGCAGCAGTCCCAGTAATGCCGGGCCCACATTTTGACAGGGCAACAGTTGCTCCTGACCTCTCCTGTGGTTCACAGTGCCTCCCTCCTCTTCCCCTCCCCACTACCTCACTTCCTGGTCTCAGAACCAGGTGGAAATGAAAGGAAGCTCATTGGGATACCAGAGCACTCCTGGGTTTCCTGAGGCAGGATGGCTGTTGTCGCCATTTCTAGAGAGCTCACACCCTTGGAGGAGGCCTCCCTGCAGAACCAGAAGTTGAAGACGGCCTATGAGGCTCGCGTGGCCCGCCTGGATCCCAGTCAGGCTGTACAGAAGACCTCCCTGGTGAGAGGGCGGGGTGGGCCTGGGGGGTTAAAGGAGACAGGTGGGACAGGGAACAAGAATGGCCTTAAGTTCTTCTCTTGCTAGACCCTGTCCTTGCAGCGGCAGATGATGGAGAATCTAGTGATTGCCAAAGCTCGAGAGGAGACAGCACCCTTTCTGCCAGTCCTGGGTGTCCTGTGGGGACATCCAGAGTGCAGCCTTGGGGAGGGGTGTTGGATTGTTGGGGTGGGGCTTTAGAGAAGACTATTCCCCTACCCCCCTCTGCTCCTGGCTTGTCCCTTCCCCCGAAGCCTTCCTGGAAATAGTCTCCCCCAAGTAAATGTCCATCACCTGTCTAGCACACTCTCCTGACCTCTGTGGGTGGTCAGTGCAGGTATGTGCAGGGGAGGAGGGGAGGGGCAGGTCAGCCAGTGAAGGCTCCTTGACTCGGTGTCCAGCTCCAGAGAAAGATGGAGGAGCGCCGCCTGCGGCTACAGGAGGCAACCAACAGGTGTGGTCCCCACCGTCCTTCCATCGCCAACAACTGTTTCTCGCATTCTTCATCTCACAACAGTTGTGCACCCCCCACCTCCTAACAGATGCATCCTCTCTCCCCACCTCCTAACAGATGCATCCTCTCCCCGCACCTCCTAACAGGTGCATCCTCTTCCCTCATCTCCTAACTGATGCATCATCTCTCCCCACCTCCTAACAGGTGCATCCTCTGTTCCCCCCCCACCTGCTAACAGGTGCTTCCCCTGATTCCCACTGGTATGTTTCCAAGTCTCCATCTCGAAGTAGGTTCATCCCCTCTGCCCCTTCCCTGAGGGTTCAGCCAGCCCCGGCCTTTGTCCCCCTAGGAGGTTCTGCAGCCAGGTCGCCCTTAGCCAGGAGGAACGGGAGCAGCGGGCCCTCTACACCGCCATCCTTGAGTATGAGCAGGACCACGTGAGTCCCACACAGCTCTGAGAGGGCGGGCCAGAGCTAGATTCCCACCCCCCTCCGACTCAGGTGTGCCAGGGTGGGCCTTCTCAGGGAGGCTTCCTTGCACCTTGGGAAGTAGGCCCGCAGTGAGGTGGGGCATCTTCTCAGGGCACTATGCATCCTGCAGGACTGGCCAAAGCTCTGGAAAGCCAAACTCAAGAGAAGCCCTGGGGATCTGTCGTTGGTGACCAGCCTGGTCTCCCACCTCCTCAGGTACTGGGACCCCACTCACCCCTACCTGTTGGCATTAGGGGTTGTCCGACAGGAGTTAACAGCAGTAGAGGTCTAGGAGCTGGGATGGAATCCAGAGGGGGTGGGGCAGGAAGTAAGACATGAGGTGGGCGTGTCAGAGGAAGGTCTGAGCTCAGGAAAGCCAGGGCCCCAGTAGGGCTGGGGCAGGGGCTTCAAGCTGGCTCTCCAGCCTGCTGCCGTGCACTGCCCTGAGCCCGCGCCTCTCCCTGCAGCCTTCCCGAGCACCCCATCTCTCAGCTCCTGCGGAAGCTCCAGAGTATGGTGTACGGCGCGCTCTACCCAGTGGTGAGCAGGGCCATGCTCAGTGCTGCACCTGCCCCCGGCTGCTGCTCGGTGCCCACAGACGCCAATGCGTCAGTGGCCCCAGGGAGCCGGCGGCTACGTGCCTCTCAGAGCTTCCACTGTGTGCTGTGCCCCCCGGAGCCAGCTCCAGGATCACAAGATGGGGCCCCAGACAGAGGGGCGGATGGCAGTCTTTTGCCGCCCCCCTCGCCCCTGGGGAACTGTGCATCCCATCTGCGGGACAAGGACAGCTCCTTCGAGGACCTGGAACAGTTCTTGGCAACTTCCGAGAGGTGGGGCCTGGGCCCTGGGGGGCGGTCCGAACCTCAGAACCCCGGAGCTAAAAGAGAGCCATTGCTGGAGCAGCTGAGGAGCACAGTGAAGGACATCCACAATGCCATCGGTATGGGTAAGGGAGAGCCGGCTCCAGAACTCCGGCGAGGGGTGGGGCCTCCGGCGAGGGGTGGGGCCTCCGGCGAGGGTGGGGCCTCTAGCAAGGGGTGGGGCCAGGGCCAGCCACAGAGGGCTGCTTATTCTGGGGACTGGGATGAGTGTGGGAGAATGGATGCGGAACCTGACTGAGGCGGGGCGTGTACATATACCCTGGACTGGAAAATGGAACGGATGGAGCTTTGGACCCTCAAAAGTCATTCGGGCTCAGGGTAGCAGGTGATCCAGGGATAAAGGTTTCCTGAGAGCTAAAGGAGGAGGCCTTAGTAAGGTCCGTCTGTGCTCTCCACACTCTGAGGGGCCAGGTAGGACCCCACTGCCCAGCCTCAGATACCTTCCTACAGTTCTTTCTGAACAGGCTGAGACCTCTCTGCTGAGACCATTGGGGTGGAAGATGATCCCTTCCTCTCCCTAGACCTGTCTCAGCAGTGGCACAAGGAGCTAGGTCTCAGATACTTGCCTCAGATAATAGATCCCAGACCCCAGCGATTCTTGACCTTGAAGGGGAGGGCCAGGCCAGAGAGTAGGGTACCTTCACTCCAACATTAACCCTTCAGAGAGGTGAAAGTGTGTGGAGACCCTAGAACAATGGTACCTGGGCCCAGCCACCCCACAGCCTTGCCTGTCCCGCTCTGCTCCCACAGACAGGCTGCTTTCGCTGACCCTTCTGGCCTTCGAGGGCCTGAACACAGCTTCTGCCAAGGACCGCTGCCTGGCCAGCCTGGAGGAGGCCTTCTTCTCCCCATTGTGGGCCCCAGTGCTGGCCTTGTATAGGTGGGCACTAGGGTCCATTTGCTGGGGAACACACTAGCTACTTTCCCAGCTGAAGCCCTGCTCTGGCAGCCGTGCCCTTTGTACATCGGGGCTGAGGCAGGCCTCTCTCTGCCCCAGGAGTGTGTACCGAGCCCGGGAGGTGACCCTGAGCAGAAGCATGGAGCTCTACAGGAACATGGCCCCCACAGCCCTCGGTGTCCCCACCAAGCTCCTCCCGCAGGACACCCAGGACCCAGGCACCTACCCCTACCGCAGTGCGGTCCAGGAGCTGGGACTGCTGGTCCTGGAGAGCTGCCCCCAGAAGAAGCTGGAGTGCATTGGTGAGGGGTATGGTGGGGGGGGGGGGGGTCCACAGCCCTGCACATCAGGAAGGGACAGGCCAGCATTTTGGGGTGGACAGGCAGAGGGGACCTCTGTACCATCCACTGGGCCCAGAGAGGCTGTGGATTGGGAGTCGGCCTTCTGCTCACCAGCCACTGCAGTCCAACAGGCCCTGCTGCCCGACTGCCTCCCCGACCCCAGTGGTCCCAGCAGCCCGCTGGGCACTCTTGCACACACACCCCTCCCCCAAGTGCTCATGGAAGTGCCTGCCTGCCTGCAGTGAGAACCCTACGGGTCATCTGTGCATGTGCAGAGGACTGCTGCCGGGCACAGGAGGCCAAGGCCCCACCAGGTGCTGCCGCCATGTGAGTAGGAGGCTACTGTCTGCTGTGTGGAGCTGCGGGGAGGGCGCTCGTTGTCTCCCACACTCAGCTGAGGTGACAGCCTTGAGCCTGGTGTGTCCCTTCAGGCCGCACTTGCACTCACCTGGTGAGGGCCCAGCTGACCCTTACCCCAGCCACCTGCACCCCTCCATCAGCCATTAGTCCTCGGTCTTGTGCCGCCCAGGCAGCTGCCTTCTGTGTCCTGCAGCCCCATCCCTGGGAATGGTGTGAGGGCCTCAGGGGTGTTGGAGGAGGAGTCGCTGGGTCCCTCAGCCAGCTGTGCCTGTGCCTGACAGTGGAGCCGATGACCTGCTGCCGATCTTGTCTTTCGTGGTGCTGAGAAGTGGCCTCCCCCAGCTGGTGTCGGAATGCGCAGCATTGGAGGAGTTCATCCATGAGGGGTATGGGCACGGGACACGGTGTACCATGGAGGACAGTCTGCCCACCAATACCCCGTCCCACCACCTCTCACTCCATGTCCTCTGCACAGGATCTGTGAGAGGGGCGTGGTGTGGGGGCTCTGATGCCCCCTTCCTTCCCTCAGAGCTGTAGGGGCACGCACGCACCTTGTCCCAAAAGCTATGGCGGTGTCAGTGGGCAGGGAGCCCCTCCATGAGCTTGCCCCCTGGTCGGCCCCTGGCAGGTACCTGATTGGAGAGGAAGGTTACTGCTTGACCTCGCTGCAGAGCGCCCTGAACTACGTGGAGCTGCTGCCGCGGGGAGCCCTGGGCAAGTAGCCAGGCGTACTCCAGACCTGGGTCTCCTGTCTGCACCTGAGCCACGGGCCCCAGGAATCTTCATGCTATAGCCAGGAGGGGGGCGGGGCTGTGAGGAGGCTCTCCAGCCCTGCCCCTCCCTAGCCCAACACCTGCCCCAGACCCCCCACCTACACGATGAGACCAAGAGCAGTTCCCAGGAACCAGGCCCTTGTCTCCCAGCCTGACTCTGAGGGCCTGCTGTGGCCATAAATGTCAGCTCAGGCCTGGGCCACCCAGAACATGTCCCTGGAGTAGCACCTGCTGCCAGGTGACCAGGACAGAGAAGGACTCTCCAATTGTGGCTGTTACAGTCAGTGCTCCCTGAACCAGTTTCTTGCTGAAGGCAAGAACCAGAGCCTGGACCTCAGGGGCGCTGAGATCAGGTGGTTTATTTATTGGACACAGACTACTCTAACCCCTGGTCCAGGCTGAGTCTCACACCCTCCCTGGCCAGGTCAGTGGAGTGCAGGCTTGTCCTGTCCACTCCCACACGAAAACCCCACTGGGGTCCATGTGAGCCCGGGTGTCACCCTGCCCACTCTGACCAGGCGGAGAATAAAGAGATCTCTGCTGTCAATACCTTGCCTAGCTCTTTCTGCCTCACCCTGTACTCTGGACCGGCCAGGCGGCACAACCACCACAGGGACTGAAAAGGTCTGGACAGTGAGCCTCGGATCTGCCTGCCTGTCCTCCCGAACTTCTGCTCGGAGCAGAAGCCTCTCAGGGCTGGACAGGGATCAGGCTGAGGTCAGAAGTCTTCACTGGGCAGGACTTGCATTGTCTTACAAGAGAGTATGCACCTGGGACTCGAGATCCTAGGTGCAGTCTCAGCTTTCATCCCTGAATGATGGCATGTGGTAACCTAGAGGGGGAAAGCAAGTAAGTTTCTTGGAAGGGCAGCTCTGAGATACACACCCCCAGTCGAGGGCGGCATCTGGGAGGGGGTGCCTGAGGGAGCGTCCATATGCTGAGTGGCTCAGATCCTAACAGCTGCGTGGTGGTAGCGGTGTTGAGGTGTCCTTGGGGAAAGGGTGACGTAGATACCAGAAGTTGGCGTTTGTTTAACGCTCTGAGAAGGCCGTTGCCAGCGCTTTGCAAGTAATAACTCATTTCGCACCGACAAGAAGCCCATAAAGAAACGGAGCCAGTACTTTCTGACCACACCCTGGTGGACGCAGGAGGGTTGGGGATCTGGTGGTGAATGAGCTCGTGTCCCCGGGGCAACTGCGGGCAGGAACCTCTGTAGGGTGAGCGGGACCAGGAGACTTCTGAAAAAAACATCTGTCCAGCGGGTCCAAGAACGACGGGCTGGCGCCGCTCCCCCTGCTGTGCGCTCCCGCAGCTTTTGACTTAGCTGCAGGATTCACGTGTAGGATGCACTTGCTCCAAGAGCAGCCTTATTCCAGTCTAGCGCTCCTCTCCGGCCTATCAACAGCCCGCATATAAACTCAGCCAATCAAAGTTCACTGTGTGGCTAGCCACTCCCACACCCGTGTTCCCTATGGAAAGAGGATGGCGAGGGAGTGCGGTGGGGCGGGGCTGCTGCGCTCCTTTTCCGCGTCAGGTAGCCCCTCCCTACTGAGCGTGTCCTACACTTGGGTAGCTTCCGCAGCAGACAGCATTGGCGAGAGGCGGTACTCGGATTAAGCGCCGCCGCTACGTCACGGTCAGCGAGCGGAGTCAAGTCCTGGTGGAAGCGCTTGGCTGGCCGGAGGCTGAGCCGCAGAGATCGGGAATCTCTGGGGACAGGCAGGTAGCGCCTGTGCCCGTGGAGCCTGTGAGATCGGACTGCATGACCTGGGGGCGCTCTGCTTGCGGGGGCGAAGTCTGCAGTCTTGGGGGGCTCTCAGGCACGGAGAGCTGGTGTAGGCGACTCTCACATCGGACCACCACCTCCGTCGTTTTCCGGGAAGGTCCTGGGGGCGGGGTCTACAAGCTAGGGGGCGCCTTGGATGCCGGGCTTGGGGTGCCGAGGACGTGCAGCTGACCCCTCGTTCTCCCCAGGATGGGCAGCACCTCGCTGTCGGAGGACTATCGCCTGTGCCTGGAGCGTGAGCTGCGGCGTGGGCGTGCGGGCGTGTGCGGAGACCCGACATTGCGTGCCGTGCTCTGGCAGATCCTGGTGGAGGACTTCGACCTGCACGGGGCGCTCCAAGACGACGCTCTGGCGCTGCTTACAGATGGCCTGTGGGGCCGAGCCGACCTGGCGCCCGCGCTGCGTGGCCTGGCCCGCGCCTTCGAGCTGCTCGAGCTGGCCGCTGTGCACCTGTACCTGCTCCCCTGGAGGAAGGAGTTTACCACCATCAAGGTGGGCTGTCCAGCGATTGGCCCTCACTTGCTCACTTCCCTTCCAGACAGCTGTTCCTATTAGGGTTGTGGGGGTTTGGGTGGCCTCCAAGGGATCAGAGCACACAGGGACGGTGGGTCATTAGGGCAGTGCCCCAGGCCACCCGGGCACTCCCAGGCATGGAGCCGGAGGTGCGCCAAGGGCAGGCTTGAGGGGCCAATGACCAAGAATTCTCTCCAAAGTGGTCTCATGACCCCAGCTACCAGACATGTTTTCGGACAGAATAAGGCCTTGAGGTGGTTTTAATTTCTCTAGAAAACAGCCAGACCCCCCCAGATCCAGAGCAGGAAGACCAAGTTGGGAAGGGTTACTGCCTGGCACCCTCCGTTAATTCAGAAAGCAGTGACGTCACTGCACACGTGGGCGAGGTACGCCTCCACAGGTTGCCATGGCGATGCTCTCTTTCTCCCTCCTCCCTGCTCCCTCTCTGGAGGTGTTAAGTTGGAGCCTGCCGCTCCACAGGGGGCACCTGTTGGTCCCAGGTTCTAAGATTTAATTCAGACAAAAGCCCTTGTGGCCCAGGGCTGTGCCAACCCTCCCTGGGCCCTGGGCCTTGGGCCTGCAGAGCTCAGCAGGTAGGCTCAGAATAGAGCTCCTGGACCTCCTCTTCCGGTGTGTGCAATGGGCTTGGCCAGCCGGAAGAGGGGCTGCTGGTGACCAGCTTCTCCCTTGCAGACCTTCTCCGGGGGCTATGTGCATGTGCTGAAGGGCGCGCTCTCTGAGGACCTCCTCACCAGGAGCTTCCAAAGGATGGGCTATGCACGCAGGGACAACCACAGCCTCACGGTGACCGCGCCAGCCCCTGCCTGCCAGTTAGTACAGGTGGCCCTGGGCTGCTTTGCACTGCGCTTGGAGTGCGAAATCATGGACGAGGTGCTGGCCCAGCTGGGCACCAGCCTGTTGCCAGCTGAGGTGCTGTTGGCAGCCAGGCGGGCCAGTGGGGACGTGGCCTCCTGTGTGGCCTGGCTGCAGCAGCGGCTAGCCCAGTCTGAGAAGCTGCCGCCGCCCCTACCCCCTCGAGGCTCTGCGGCAGCCTTTGGGTGCCCACTGAACCTGTACCAGGACCCTACAGAGGACGAGGGCTCAGAGGAGGAGGCCAGTCTGTATGGGGACCGCTTAGCAGCTGCCACCTCACCCCCCACACAGCCGGCCTATGAGGCACCACTCTGGGAGCAGAGCGCCCAAGTGTGGGGTGTAGGGGGCCCAGCCTGGGAGGCTTCTGCCAACAACCCACCCTACGGCGCCCCAGAGGAGGAGCCTGAACAGGGCCCCTTTTCCTTCCTTTCCCTGCGCCCTGAGGGCTTTCCAGCACACAACTGCCAGCAGCCCAGCATGCTATCACCACAACTTGGTGCGTCATTTCGGCGTGCTTGGCTGCCACGATCTTGAGTGGACACCCTGGTTGGTGTCCCTCAGACCGGACCGTAGCCCAGAGGTAGTAATCATTGCCAGAGCCGAATGGTGCTTATCTGGGCAATGGCCCATGAGAGCCAGGCATCTGCCCACCCCTGCCCATGGGAGTCCTGGGCAGAGAAGTGTTCTGTGCTCCAGGTACCCCAGGGCAGTCAAGGCAAGCCAGCAGCAGGTCCCGATGGGCCAGCAGGTAGCCTGTCCACAATGCCTAGACCCAAACCTGTGCATGACCCACACCAGGTCCCTGCCCTGCTCTCTGGTCCCTTGTCCCCCGTTGCTTTGCATGGCATTCCCTCATACCCACCTTTGGAATCCCACCCCCTGTAGATAGAGGTTCCGGTGCTACCTCCTTCTAGGTGCCTGAGGAGAACTATCAGTCACCTCCTGGCTCCGAGGCTAGAGGGACCTGACCACTCTTCCCACCCTGAAACTCACACAGAGAAGAGAAGCCATGTAGCAGAGGGCAGGAGGGAAGTGAGGTCCTGGTGCCCCAAACTTTCTCCCAGACCACCAGGCTGTGGGGTAGCAGGTGGGAGAGGCTGGCATGCCCACTGTAGCCCTTTAGAGCAGTAAGCTAGAGATCGGGCCATGACCCAGCATCCCCTTCTCACCCAGCACCCAGCTCTCTCCCAGCACTCAGGATGGCCCTTGGTGGATGTGAATTTAAATCAAGTATATTAAATGAGCAACACTGCCTCCACGAGGAATCCTTTATCTCTGAGCACCTTGGGACAGGACCTCAGTGTCCTCCTGAAACTGGACCCCTGCAGCCTCCACAGACTTTACACCATTACAGACCCAAGCCCTCAGCCTTCCCACCCGGGGGAGCCCCAAGGCCTTTTCCTGCCCCACAAGTCTCTGAAGGCTGTGGTCCCGTGACCCATCCTGAGGCCGAGTTGCATTTCCAGAGACTTAACCACCAGTTGGCCTAAGCCGTAAGGGTGCCTAAGGGTGCCGGGGCTCTCAAACTTCCCTGAGACTGAGGGCAGGATGAGAGCTGCTCCCTTCCACCTTGCCAGTTGCACAAGGAGATGCTCCTCATCTTGGAGCCTTTACGGCCTGATGCGCTTGCTCGGACCCTCGGCAGCAGAGGTGGCTCGCTTGTTGCGGTGATGGGGAAAGGTGGGCATCAGCTCCGGCTCACAGGCTGTGGGGAGACGACACCCAGAGGCTCCTAACTTCCCCGACTCCAGAGGGTCTACTCCCTGCCCAGGTGACCTGTATCCCACCTGAACCTATGTGAGCTAAGGCTGCACCGTGGCAATACGGGGTGTTATACGTGGCAAGACTGTCCCAATGCCACCCCACCCCCCAGCGAAAAGGGGCTCCGTTACGGATGCTAGGCTGGGTCCAAGAAGCCACTCACGCAGGGGTTTCTCCTTGAAGTAGGAGCTCTCCAGGCAGTCCCCGGCCGTTGCCCTGGGGAAGGGACCTCAGTGAGGAGCTCAGTTCTCAGCCCCAGAAAGAGTAAGGCTTAGACTGAATGTCCCCAGGGAAAGACTGGATGGCGTGTGTGAGGGGTGAGGTTCAGTGTTGGCTCCAGAAGGGCCTGGCCAATGGAGCTGCCCTCCCTGTGCCGTGCCCACATGCCAGCTGGTCGGGGTCAGCACCTCTTCTTGGGGTCATACATGAAGAGGAAGTTGAGAAGGCGAAGGCCGGCCTCTGAGAGCCAGGGGAACTTGTGTTTCAGGTTGTTGTACGGCTGCTTTCTCAGACTGTACTGGCCGGCCAGTGGCAGCTTCGAGAAACCCTGGGAGCGGGAGGCGAAGGGAGAAAGCAGGAAGTAACAGCAGGCCTGGAGATGGGGCAGAGGGAACAGTGGGGTAGTTGGACAGCAGATAAGCCGGGCAGGTCGGGAAGGCACCCACCGGCCAGATGTTCTCACTGGGCGTCCCCAGCAGCTGCACGATGAGGTCGATCTGGTGGATCTCAGACGAACCCGGGAGAAGTGGCTTGTGGGCCAGCAGCTCGGCCAGGATGCAGCCCACAGCCCTGGGCAGGGGAAGAGAGCCTCAGTCACTCGATTTTGCAGACATGCCTTCACAGTACTGAGGCCACAAGACACGAGAGGCCTAAAGGGAACCCTCCCACCCTCACCCAGGCTGTGATGTTTGTGACCTCAGTGTTAGAGGCTCAGGATCTCTAAGTTCTTCCACTTCAGGGGGCCAAAGACTCCAGCCCCCTGGGCCCCGCTTCAGTGTCCCATTCCTCACCACATGTCGATACTGGTTGTCTGTGTGGGGGTTCCCAGAAGCAGCTCAGGGGCTCTGTACCTGCAGAAGAGAAGCCCATCTTGCGTCCACACACCCACTCCAGCTCTGACGGCAGACAGCTGTGTGCTCTCAACCTCATCTGGCTCTGCTCCTAAAACTGAATCCACCAGTCTCCCCCAGGGGGCCTTTGGACCACATGGGTTTAGGATAGTGTGAGTGGCTTCCTGCCCTTGGATGGCTCGGCTGGTCCTGAGAAGCTGTCCTGGGCCATGAACAGCCCCTGAAGCTTGAAGACCTGCAGGACCCCTTTGGAGCATCAGTCAAACAACCCCAAGCTGCCCCCAGTAGGGGGCCACCACGCTTCCGTGGAACTCACCACAGGGTGACCACCTTGGGGGTCATCGGCTTCACAGGGACACCGTAGGCTCGGGCCAGCCCAAAATCCGCTGGGACAGGGCAGAAAGAGAATTTGGGGATCAAGTTGGGGTCAGCACCAGGTGACAGGATCCCTGAGCCAAGTGTGCCCACTGAGGCAGCACCCCAGGAACCCTAGTGCAGCACCCACCTGTCTTCACACACCCCTTGTCTGTCATGAGCAGGTTGGAGACCTTCAGGTCCCTGTGGGCAAGAAAGTGAGTAACTGCCGAAGGGGCCCCCACAGCAGCAGGGATGCCTCGCCACGTCACATCAAACCCCTACATGAGGTGTGTGAGGGCACTTTACCAAGGAGACTCCCCAGAGGTCCCCTTCCCCAGACCTACCCTCCACTCAGCCATCTAGCATGAGCCACAAGGTCACTGGGATGTACCTTCTCACATGGGAGCCAAGGTTAGATGATGGCAGCCTTTTCTCAGGGAGACTGATCTTGTAGGGCTCCTTGAAATGATGTGATCCCAGACCCCCTCTTCTTACTAAACAGTGGCCACTCAACCCCTCTTCAGTTACAGACCCATCCCCGTTCACACTTGTCTTTCAGCCTCCCAGCTCTCCCATCAGGCCCACCTGTGGATGATAAAGTTCCTGTGCAGGTACTGGAGACCCCTGAGCACCTGCAGTGTGATGCACTTGACCTACGGGGACAGGGGTCACCAATCAGGGTGGGCCTCAGTGACTGCCAGCTTCCGTGTCTACATCGGTCAAGTGGAGACCCTGGCTCAGAAACAATGCCACCAGAGCACTCCTGAGCACGTGGGCCACCTCCCCCGACCTTAGGTCCTGGAATGTGATGCCAAGTGGCTAGGCTGGCAGACACCATGTGCAGAAAAACGTTTCCCACCAGCAGGATCTGTGTGGCCACCCGTTCCCCCATATCCCCAGCCTCCCCCACATACCTGGGCCTCTGAGAAGGGTGTTGGCATGTTCTCTAGGAGGCTGGCCAGGTCCTGCTCACAGTAACCCATCACCAGAAAAATACTGAAAGAAAAAGGGATGCATACCACCCATCCCACCCCACGTGGGCCAAAGGTCTTCTCAAGCTGAAGGGAAGAAGGGAGAGGGTCACCTTGGAGCACAGGGAGAGCAGGAAGCTGGGGCAGGGTGGGTTTGCGGGAGGACCCGAGCGCAGAGCATGGGCCAGAGGGCGGGGCTGCACACCTCTCCAGGTGGTTTCCCACAACCACCTCCTTCAACTCCACGATGTTGGGGTGGCGGAGGCGCAGGAGCAGCGTGATCTCCCGCAAGCTGCTGATGGGGATCCCTGCACCACGGTAACCTCAGTGAGCAGCTGGCCAACCCTCAGGGACCCTTCGTGCTGCATCTCCCAGGGGTCTGCAAACACCCACTCTGAGGGGCAGCCACAGTCCCTAGTTCACACAGACACTCGCAATCCCAACAAAACACTTAGAACCGTTCCTCCTCCTCCTCAGCACCTGCTGCCCTAAGCTGTGTGGGACACGTGAGTAGGACAAGATCCCCACCTCCTAACAGCATGGAGGTGCCGGGAGGTGAGCAGAAGGGGTGGAGCTCATGAGAGAGCAGGCAGGACTTAGACTGGGGAGGAGTCAAGGGTCAGCCTCCTCCATTCACCTCACTGTCTCTCAATAATCATCAACTCACACCTCATCTCACTTCTGTGTGCCCCGTGGCCAGTAGGCAGTGAGGCGTGACCCACTGAAGCCCTCCTCAAGGCTGTGTCCCCCTAACCACTATGCAAAAGAGCACACACACTCACTCTTACTTCCCAGAGGACTCAGTTCTGAGGAAGACTCTGGGTGTCTTGACTATTTCTACCCCGACTGCAAGATTCTGGCCAAAGTCCTGGTCCCCAATGCCTCCACTCACCATCCTTCTCCTTGTCCATCCGCACCTTCTTCAGGGCAACAACTTCATCAGTCTGGGTGTCCCTGGCCCGATCTGGAATGAATCACATCCATAGTGACGGTCAACCAGGTTCCCGTCAAGAGCTTTCTTGTGCCGCACTTGCCCCTAGGCAAGTCAGCTCTGTCTTTGGACCACGCTGATGGCCAGCAATACCCACGTTTCACTGTGCGACACACCAAGCTGCACGCTACCTTGGACGTGTCCTGCTCTGAGCTGTGCCCTGTGCCCTGTGCCCTGTGTTGCTTTTTTGTGGTCTCCAGCTACTGATAGGCATCTCCTGACAAGCCCCAGTGGAGTCCTAGTCAGGATGCAGATCACTGCTCTGTGTCCTCTTGTACTATGTGACTGAGCTATAATGCTTACATGACTCCCCAAAGCCTTGGGATGACTTCCAAATGCTTGGCAGGATGAGGCCCACCAATGTCATGGCTGCTTAGGGAAGTACCATGCGTTACTGCTGTGAAAGTCACCTACACTCTGTGGTTCCAAATGAGCAACAATGAAACTCACAGGTGACCCATTTCTCAGACATGGTGTGAAATGTGTAGTAATCACACCAGGAATTAAAGTTCACGCATACTCGTCTTTGCCCTGCTCATGGGATGAGGGCATGAACCCACTTCCAGTCCCACCACAGCTGTTCCTATTGTAATATAATCCTTACCCCAGACACAACAGACCCAGAAGCCGAGGCTCGGGTCCCTATCTTAGCTACTCACACACAATGCCGTAGGTGCCTTCCCCAATTCGGTTCAGCTTCTCAAATTCTTTCACACTCCGGCATCGTCCCAGCTAAAAGAGAGAGGACATGCTGCCAAGGTGGTCTCTTGTAGCTAATGGAACAACTGCGGGTGGATACTTCTCATACTATTGCACCAGGGAGTTAATTCCTAACTCCACGATGACCTCTCACATTCCATCCCATGGTCTGGTGGTGGTGGGTATGTGCCGTGGAGTCGGTTCTGATTCATAGCAACCCTGCATAGGGTTTCCGAGGCTGTCAATCTTTACGGGAGCAGAAAGCCTCATCTTTCTTCCACGCAACAGCTGGTAGGTTTGAACTGGTGACCTTGAGGTTAGCAGCCCAACTCATAACCACTATGCTACCAGAGCTCCCATGGTCTAGACCTACACTATCCAATATCGTGGCTACTGGACACTGTGGATATTTAAAATTACAATCCAGTTCCTCAGTTGTTCTAGCCACAATCAAGTGCTTAACGGTGGCTGTACAGATGCGGTCTAAACAGAACATTCTCATCACTACAGAAAGTCTACGGGCAGTGCTAAGTTTTGCTTCACACAGATGTTAGAAGTACGGGGCCTTCAAGAGGTTATTACCAAACACAGTGCAGACACACCTAGGGCACAGACTACAAACTCTCCCTCACATCCAGACATCGCTAGGAGATTATGGCCACCTGGCCGGCAGCCATTTTCCCCAGCCTTTCATGAAGCTCAATTCTGGCCAATGGAATGGGAGCAGAGTGACACTCATGACTTCCAGATTCAGAGAATCTGGGTGCCATGGGTTCTCTCTAACCTTGAGGCAGGCTGAGTTTTAGATGAAGTGCAGGTGAAGCAGTAGAAGTGTTTACCTGTGGAAAACAAGTGCTTGTCTCTGGAGTCTGAGGGAAAACAGAAATGGAGCTCTGTTCCCCATAGCCTTTATTTTGGGTTCTCTGGAGTAGCAAAGACTGCACTTTCATGTGGCACATTCACAGGTGGGCCACCTATTTGTGGCTCTGCCAAGCCTATGTAAGCAGCCTTGAACTGTATCCCATCTGGGCTCCTAGCCTCAGACCGCATCACTTTCTGATGGTGACACTGAGAAACCAGCTCCATGATACCACCTGAACCTCCCGTTCCCGCCTGACTTCTCTCCATGTTCTAACCAAGCTGAACTCTAAATGTCCCTGCTCAGACCCTGGATTTCTGGTTCCTGCACCTGACTTGGCGGCCCATCATTCCTACATGTCCAAATCCGAGCCATGACTCCTAGCCCAGCAGAAATACCACCCTGTGCAAGTTTTCCAGAGACCTTCAGCTGGAAGCCAGATTCTTTTCTTTACAATTCCCCAAACTTTTGACGCGGCACCCACCACTGCAGCGGGTGCCTTTAGTCCCTGAGAAGCAGGTGGTTACCACTCACTCCTCAGACTCAGGGAGCACTCACGGGCTAATACTGTCGTTCAGGGACCAGCCCAAGTGTGGCCCTGTGGCCTACTGTGCTAATCAATTGTTACTGGACAGTGGCGTAGCCTGAGCATCAGCAAATACTGCACATAGAACTCTGAGTCCAAACTTCTGTCCCGGTCCATCCTGGAAACCAGCTCGACGGCCCCGAGTCTCTCTCCCTCATCTACAACGTTGGAAGTAATGGTACGTGTGGCAAAGAGTGGCAGAGAGGACTCAATGACAGTAACCCCGCACAGGACAAGGACAGAGCGGCCCAGTCACAAACGGCCCTGCTTGGTCCCATTCACGTCTGATGACAGTCCCTTCCCCTTCCACCCTTTCGACGGGGAATCCCCTCACAGAACCCGCCCGTGGGGCAAACCCCAAACGTCCGGAATTGAAGGCGCGGCGGAACTTTCCGCACACACCGCGAGGAACTCTGGGATTGTCGTTCCCGCCCGTGCCGGAAACTGGGCGCCGGAAGGCGACACCGAGATCACCGGCGCGCTTCCGCCCAGACCTGCCAAAAAAAAAAAAAAAAAAAAGAGCGAGCGAGCGAGCAAGCTGCCTAAGCGGCTCCCTGTCGTACTCTGTGTTCCGGAGGCACCGTGAAGAACCCTTCCTTACGGATGCACTTCAGACGGATCTGCTCTGACTCCGACTCGGGCTCACCCATGCCCAGCGCCGGCCTTCCCTCTCGTGTGCACAGGCGCAGACGGAGTACCTTTGCGCAGGCGCACAACCCACTTTAGGGGCATCCCCTTCTTAGCAACTGTTACCAAGGGATCTTCCATCTCGCCTGAGGACCTCACTCAGCTCCCGGGGTCAGCTCACCCAACCGACAGTCAGGGCTTATTTAAGCTTTATGGACCAGCACCTGAACGTTGGCTCGCCGAGTAAAAATGCTTGAAGGAAGGGGTTGGGGAAGTTGTGCCGGACCATGGAGGCTGGTGGAGAGGGATCTGTTCCGACCGCCAGAGCCATCAGAGACTTTGAAAGGCTTTTAGCTGTGCTTTAAAGCCCTTCATTGAAGGACAGGACCCAGAACAAGGGAGGTGATGATGGCCTGGGAGAGAGTAGGGTCAAGGAGTCACCTAACACTTGTGTACCTGCTGGACCTTGCACGCACCCTCCATTTCATTAGAGAACAGGCATGCATGAGGCAGATGATGTGAAAGTTATACTTGTTATAGGACAAGTAGGACAAGAAATGAATGGGACCATCTTAGGGACTGCAGCTAGAAGCAGGGGACTGAATGCAAAGTAGACACTAGGCGAGATCATCCCAGTCCGAGGGAAACCAGTGCCACTGGAGCAGAGGACCGAGTGAAGTCCCCAAGGCCCTGGGACAAATGGAGGGGGGACCTCGATGACCACTGTGAGGATTTGGCTTTTGCTGTAGCAGGTGGGAGGAACTGTGAACAGAGGGGACCTAGTCTGTCTTGTGATTGGACAGAATTGCTCCGCCTGTTGAGTTGCTGTCAGACTAAGAGGCAGGCAATGGCCACCCTGCAGAGAGTGCATCTTGTTCCATGGCTGTGCCTCAGCTGTGGCTGCCAAAAAGGTAGACCAGCCTGGCTAATGTTCTGAGAGGCCCCCTCAGTTGACGGAGAATCAGGGAGACCTTAGCAAAGGGGGCTGCTGCCAACACTCAGGCAAGGCAGGGCAGGCAGGCAGAGGTGGCTGAGTTGTCAGGAGGTCTGAGAGCCTCAGAGGATGCCTCCATCCTATCCTCGGGGCGTTTCTCTAAAAGATGGAAAGCAGGGTCTCACCTGCTCAGGGTGGACCAGGTGAGGGGGCGTGTCCAGGAGCACAAGCAATTGCAAAGCGGCTTTCAGTCACAGACCTGCATTTAAAACAAGGATGCTCCTTCTGCCAATCAGGTAAACTCCCTTATGCAGAATAAAATTGAAATGATTTCGTATCAGGCTATCTTGTTCTGATTTTGAAAAACCATCTGTCAAAAGTCATCACATAGGTGATAGAAATATGTGTACATATGCACACAAGTACACATGTATGTATGTGTTATGTGTGTAGGTGTGCATATATATTTGTACTTATGTACCAGAAACAGGCCGGGTGGTAGCCAGGACCATAGGAGACAGGTCACAGGCTTCTCTGGATTATATCGGGGTCTGCTGCCCCGATTCTGTAGCCACCAGACATCCGCAGCATGGACATGCTGCATGAAGCTTGTCTATGACCGGTGAGGCTAAGAACACAGTCACAGGCTAGACCAGTGAGGCCAGTGACACCTGGAAGGCTTGAGCTTGACCCAAAGGCTACTGCCAAGGACAGGTAAGCCCAAGAACGATCCTCTGACAGCCCCCAGAAGTAAGACTGAAGTCTTGGGCTCTGTTCTCTCCTCGTGGCTGCCTGTCTCTGACACACTGCACACTCCACAATTTTTGTGTGGGTCTCCTTTAATACTCTGGGTCATGCCAGGATCAAGCTCAGAGCCCTTGGGCTTCTTTCAGGTGCCTGCACTTCTCAATTGGGAACACACACCTTAAAATTTGGGGATACCTCATCCCCTGTAACTTCCAGCACTTATAATCAAGCTCCAAAGGTCCAGAAAAGACATCACTTGCCAGGTGTGGGTCAGAGCATGCACTCCAGCTGTTCATCGCTCTCCCTGGGTACCACAGGCACAGGAACCAACCTACTGGTTCACTGTTCCCACAGTTCGCTGTTGGGCAGAAGTCACTTGCTGTCCTGCACCAGGCTGTACACATCTCTGGAGCAGGTGAGTCTGAGGTGGTCCCTGGAGTGGCAAGTGGGTCACTTTGGGGCACCTTCAGCAATCTGCAAGGTGGCCAGCCCTCCTGCACTGCTTCGTGAGCTATGACAGGACACTTCAGGGTCCATTTGTTCCATGTCCTGTAACTTGTATGCATCCACTGTGCTGGGGTTCCTGTGGCAAGCAAAGATACCCCAACTGGCATGCTCCTTGATGGTTTTCTGCTCCTCAATTTCTGCAGCACCGTAACTGAGGAGACTCTCATTAGAGGCACGCGTGATGACAATTTGTGGAATAGAGATTTTCTTCTCACTCAACTGTTCAGACTCCAGTTTCTCTAGAAGGAAGAAACCCAGGGTATAGTAAATGTGCAGAAAACCTTTTGTCTGTCCTGTGGACCGCTGCTGTTGTAGGAAAGAGTACAGGAATTAGCTGCATGATTCGCAGAAAAAACAAGCAGGGCTGGAAGCACTCGAGAATGCACATGAGCACATTAGAGCTGAAGAGATTTACACCTTGGTAACCAGGGTCATGAGTATCACATGACCTGTTTCAAAGAAGAAAGCAGGAGTGGTCAGCTGATTTCAGAGGGGCAGATGAAGGAAGGGAGGGGACACGGGTAAGGACAGAGACTCAGGGTTCAAACCTGCAATTCCCAAAGGATTCTGATTGTACTGAAAGGTGATTGATCAGCGAGCTTCAGAAACAGATACTTCTGCCATTAGTCACACATTTGTTTTCTTAAATACTTTAGGATCGCAGGGAATACACAGGGCGGATGAAAATGCACAGCTTGTTGAGTGATAGAAAGCACAAAAGCAAACGAAGTCTCATGCTTCTGCTCCCCAAGGAGCAAGTACTATGAAGAGCTGGATACGTTCTTCCAAGCTATTGGCATACCACCATGGGTTGGCTGGTTTCCACACATGTACAAGGAAGTACAGTTATGTGGGTTACCCACAATAACATGGGTTACAAAAACGCTCCCACACTGGTCATGCCATTTTACAACTTGATTGGTTACATGCCCAAGTGAATGATCAGCTTCTGCCCAGAGCCGTTCTGTGCAGACCCTGGTCTGAGCTGCAGGTCTACACCACCTTGCCTGATCTGCACACAACTTCTGAAGCAGGTCTTCTCAGAGCCCACAGGTTTTTTTGTTTTTTGTGTAATGTTTTATTGTGAATTATGTGACAGTTTACATGGGAGAACATTAGTTTTACATTCATTCTATCATATATCGTCTCATTGCCATGGTTACAATCCCCCATGCATCATCAACCAACCAAAGGGTATACCCTACAAGCCTACACCCCGGTCCTCAGCACACAGTCCCTCTCCCTCTCTGTGTCTAAAGTCCCCAGCTGCTCCATCTCTCCTCGTCATCATCTCTGCTTCCATGTCTGGTATCACTGCTTCTCTGGGTAGGGGCCCGCTCTCCGCTCTTCTCCATTGATGGTCCCAGGGACCTCTGCTCCTAGACTGAAAAGTTAATCACTCCTCAGGGCCCACGTGTGACGCAGCAGTAGCAGCCCTCCAAAGCTAATGGATGGAGAGAGCCCTGTCATGGCCTCACTCATTTTAACCCCTGCCACATGACCCACAGCCAACACTGGGCAATGGGTGGCAGCCCTTCCTTTTTTCTATTAAATCATCATATAAAACGCTGCCTTTCATCATATTGTTTCTGTCAAGTGCCGTGGAGTCAATTCCAACTCCAAGCAACCCAGTATAGGGTTTCTGAGGCATAGGTGGTAAGTCTGAACGGCTGACCTTGCGTTTCAAACTGAGCTTTCAGTCCAGTGCTTATCCTACAAGGCCATTCCTGCATATTTTGTGTTTAAGTTAACTTGGGAAGTTCCCATTTTTCCAAGTGACTAAAGAATTTATGTATTTAAGTTAAATGTGGTGGTGGTGTGCCATGGAGTCGGTTCCGACTCATACCGACCCTGTACAGGGTTTCCGAGGCTGTCAATCTTTACGGGAGCAGAAAGCCTCATCTTTCTCCTGTGGAACAGCTGGTAGTTTCGAACTGCTGACCTTATGATTCACAGTCCTATTCGTAATCACTACGCTACCAGAGCTCCTTAAGTTAAATATATAAGGCAATAAGGCTATCTTTTCATTATGTTAAAAATAAATACATTCCCAGCACTTGGATAAAGTGGTAGAAAATGTGCAACAAAGCTCAACGTTATTTGAAAAAAAAGGCTGGGCTTACTGGTCAGAAAGAGACTGGTGGAACCAGAAACTGGCCCTCAACCATCCTCCAGGTCCCACCCTTGAACTCACCCTTGTGGTCCAGTTTTCACCCAAGCAGTTGTTGTTGTTAAGTACCTTTGAGTCAGTTCTGACCCATAGCAACCATAGGGTTTCCAAGGAGCGGCTGGTAAGCTTGAACTGCCAACCTTGCGGTTCAACCAGACTTTGCAGTCAAGCACATTAACCCACAACACCACACCAGGTCTCCAACCAAGCAGTGGATAGGTATGTAAGCAGGACAGACACTGGTAAGGTATGCTCACCACGGAATAGTCAGTCATTCAAGATCAAAAGGGCAACATTTGCCTCAGGACTGGTAGCGTAGTGGTTACAAATCGGGCTGATAACCTCAGAGTCAGCGGTTCAAAACTACCCGCTGTTCCATGGGAGAAAGATGAGGCTTTCTACTTCCCTAAAGATTTACAGCCTCAGAAAGCCTGTGCAGGGTCGCTATGAGGTCGGAACCGACTCCACGGCACATAACAACAACAACAAAAGGTGAGAAGGGTAAGAAGGGTGGAATGGTAAGAACCACAGGGAGGAAGTGGGACAACTTATTGCATGGAGGGTGCTGCAATCATTGAGGTGAACCGATGTGTCCGATTTGTTGAATGCAAAGCTGTGTTCTGCTCTGTAAACCTTCACTTAATTTACAATAAAAATTGTTTAAAATTAATACATGTTGTTGTTGTTGTTGTCAGGTGCCATTGAGTCGGAACCGACTCATAGCGACCCCATGCACAGCAGAACGAAACAATGTCCGATCCTGGGCCAACCTCACTACCGCTGCCACACTTGATGCCA